GGCCGCGTCCCACATACAGCAACTAGAAGGATGCGCAACTATGACATACAACTATCTACTGGGGCTTTGGGGGAAAAATAAATAAATAAAATTAAAAAAAAAAAAAAGAAATACTTTTTTTAATCCAAATCTTGTGACAATAGGAACTTTTGGTACAGTGTTCAGAGATGTTCTGTGGTATATTTTGTTTTTTGTTTTGGGAGTGAGTGGGGAGGATTTTCTATTTAGTATGTATACTACGATTTGCATTGTGCATTTGCAGGTGGTGGAATTCTGGAAAGGGTTATTCTCCTGGTAACAGAAGTAATGCCTGAAAAAGTTGTAACAAAGTAGTTTTGTGCTTTTGCCACCATTATTATAAAATATCTTTAAAATAAATCTGATATGATTTCAAAATATTTTGCTGGTGATTTAGAGTGGCAAATTCTCCCTAATGTTTTCCTTCTTGTGCTGGTGCCAGATTTCATTTGGTCAACTCTGTTTCTCAAGAGTAGTCTTACTTTTTTTTTTTTTTTTTGGTAAGAAAGATTAGCGCTGAGCTAACATCTGTTGCCAGTCTTCCTCTTTTATGCTAAGAAAGATTGGCCCTGAACTAATATCTGTGCCTATCTTCCTCTATTTTGTGTGTGGGATGCCGCCACAGCATGGCTTAATGAGTGGTGTGTAGGTCTGCGCCCAGGATTCGAACCTGCAAACCCTGGACCAACAAAGCAGAGCGTGGGAACTTAACCACTACATCACCAGGCCAGCCCCAATCAAGTGTAATCTTACTTTCAATTGAGGAACTAGGGTATGGTTATTGTTGTTTTCTTTATTGAGTCTGCCATGTAGTGGTAGAGGGGAGTATGAAGAATTAGATAAAAGGCCCTATGACTCCCATGACTAATGACTAATGGACCAGCTCCAAATTACACACACACACACACACACACACACAAAACTGAGGAAAACATTCAATTTTTACTAGCTGTATCTGGCATAGGTACTCTATGTAAATAATGGAACAAAGGACACATTTTCCTGTTGAGTGGTACACAAAAGAGGTGGGAGCTACTAAAGAACTTGTTAGATGAGATTCTGAATCACATGATTCATTGCATCCATCTTATCAGCAGTATCGACCTCAGTGAGTATGTGGGAAAGTTTTCCTTTTTGTAATCATGAAAAGAAAATTTTATCATTTTTAAAACTTTTAGAGAACAAGATTTACTGTATTGATTCTAAATGTTTGGGATACTATCTATTTAATATTAGTTTATATTTTGATATTAAAAAGTTTAAATATAACATACAAATAACGCTTATTTCTTTTACTAAATTACTCTCTAGTTAATTGCTGGTTACTGTATTAAGAGACATTAGAACGAAGAGGTTAAAAATGCAGGCTCTGAGTACCTTCCCTGGTTTAAATCCTTTGTCTTATTAATAGTGCTGTTTGCTCTTGGGCAAGTTACCTAACTTTTCTGTGTCTCAGTTTTCTTATTGTAAGTGGGGAATAATAATACCTACTTTTTAGAATGTGATGATTAAATAAGTTGATACAGGTAAAGTATTGAGAGCAGTGCCTAAAGCAGAGTAGGAGTCAATAAATAAAATTCTATTGTTCTGTTGTTGATATTATTTTTATCATTATCTATGCTATATTATCATTATCTATATAAATACTCATATCCTGAAAATACCTTTTAAAAAGAGTTAAAGTGACTTCAGGTAACACACAAAAAAATTTCTCTGTAAAAATAATCCTCCTGAACAATTTTAATAGAATCTATATGTAGAAGTTAATGTTAAATAAGTCGTTTTAAGGAGAAGATGCAAAGAATGCCTGTAAAATCAAGTTGTCATTTTGTTGTAAGCAAGAGACAGGTTCAGAGTATAATAGTTTTCTGTTTTTATTTGAAATTTAGATATGGCACCCTTTGGGGTTTATTTTATTTACTACATAAAGACAGAGAACAAAATAGATCTAAAAATGATAGCCAAGCCTATAGATTACATTTTTTTTTTTTTTGAAATATTTGCTATAATAAGAAATTATACTTTAGTTTAAAAGTTAACTTTTGGGTCTTATGTAATCTTCCCACCCCTTCCCTGCCTCTAAATCTTTTTGTTTCTATTCTTTCACTTTATTCTGGCTGACAAATATGTTTATGGTTTATGTGTTTGGAAAAGTATAGGATGCTGTAACTTAAAATTATACAGTAAGTGTAATAAGAATTAGAATGATGGATTTTCTGATTCTAGACATATAGTTGAGCCTCATACTCTTGGAAAGGATTTGACTTACTAAGAAAATTATTAACGTTTATTGAAGTTATAAGTAAAGCTTACAGGTTTCTTGAGGTAAAGCCTCTTTTGTTTTTCCCTTCAGAGTGTGTCCCCTCTGTTTAGATTATTTGCTTTTCTGCTATAATAGTATTTCATGGGATGATGTCAGTTTTAGACTTAATTTTTTATGATACTGCTGCTTGTGCTGTAGTACTGTATCGATTGAGGTAATTATCGCTATAGTATTTTGGCTATAATGTAGCATTAGGATTAAATAATTTGATTTTACTCTAAAATATTGCATGCATACTTGAGAATATGATTCAGATCAGAATATGATTTTAGATTCAGACAGTTTATTACTTATCTTAGACAGAGAAAAGAAGTTAGCTATCCGTACCAACTCCCTGTGGTCCTTGTCCACACATGAAAAAGAATGACCAAAGTAATAGGGGCTGGATGACTCCAGTGTAAGTTATGGGATGCCCCACTGCTAGGGAGCCAATTCTATACTGTAACTAAGTGGTTTTATATTCTGCAATTCTGTTCTGAGTGGATGGGATAGAAAGCCTTATACCTTATCAGAACTCAGGAGGCCATGAGAAACTGTCTTGTGACAGCCTAACAGAGGCGATAGGGAGGTGAGCAGGAGATAGTCTTGGGGCAGAGTTCCTTACAAGTCTTCTATCCTCTTGTGTTCCAGGAGGATCACAAGATGTTCTGCCAAGACTCAGATTAGCTGTCATTCAAGCGTTTGCCTGTGTGGCCTACGTAGATACATGCAAAGTTGCTAGGCGGTATGGTGGAGCTGATTCCCTAACACCTGTAAGCACAGGCCATTAAAATTACTGAATTAAAATAATAGAATTGAGGGGCTGGCCCTGTGGCGTGGTGGTTAAGTTCGTGTGCTCCGCTTCAGCACCTCCGGGTTTGCAGGTTTGGATCCCAGGTGCAGACCTGCACACCACTCATCAAGCCGTGCTGTGGCAGCGTCCCACATAGAAAATAGGGAAAGATTGGCACAGATGTTAGCTCAGGGCCAATCTTCCTCTTCAAAAAAAAAAGGAAAAAAAAAGGAAATTTGATTTTTTTCATAGAAATGCTGTATTTACAGGCTTGCATTTCTGACTGGTTTCTGATGCCTAACCTTATTATAAATACAGTATTTAATTAGCTGAAATGATATACTTATATCTTGAATAAGAAAAAAATCATTCTGGAGTATGCTAATGATAACTAGTCATATGCACTTTCATCTCATTTTTATTTAAAGTAAATGGCCATATAGGCTCAGCTGGATTGGTCTTAGACTTTCTGGATAAAAACCTGAAGATATCACTGGAAGATGGTTCAGCCTCAACCCGGGAGGCAGAGGCTAACTGCATCTCAGTGTGTGAGTCGGGTTTTTAAATACCAGTACGTATTAGGAAAGCAGCCTGACAAGTGATGTGGTTTCTATGTTCCTGGCTTTAAATGCCCAAAAACCATATGGGTAGAACTGGCAGAACACAGAAATTTGACTCCTTTGTATTTCTTACTATATTGATTTATCTGATATGCTCAGTGACAGTCTGTTTTTAAAACTGAGAGTTGCACCCTATTAGTGGAAGGAAGAAAGAGTATAAATAGAAAACATCAGACTGCAATGCAGGCATTAGGCTAAGTATTGTTTCAAGATACTAATGTTTTAGGGGTGTGTGTGTTCATAGCAGAAGCCAATGTAGTCTATACTTCTAGGCATTTTGGCTTAAAAAGTTTGAAACATTGTGATAACCACACTTGACTATTTCAAATCTCACTGAAAAGGTGTGCTGAGTTTTAAAACTGAAATATATTACTATGTAGGTCTAATTGATTACAGAAATCTATAATATATTGTGAATAAATTTGTTGATATTTCTTTACAGTTAGCTTCTGGAATTTATAATTTTGCCTGCTCTCTGTGGAATCACCATACAGATACATTCCTACAACAAGTTTCTTCTGGCAATGAAGCTGCAGTTCTAAGTTCACTAGAACGAACTCTACTATCACTGAAAGGTACTATTAAACTTGATATGTTCATTTTTGAAATTACATACCTCAGAACAGATACCAAATAGTTCCTCTGGATGGGTTTTCCATTCCTAGTTGCCCTGGGAGCATAGGGTTAATCTCTCCCACAGAGACAAGGGCTTATTTGTAGTTTGTTTTTCTTTTGTGAGAATAGTTCTTCCTCTACCCTCTCTAGTTTATGAAAGTGTGCCATAGTTTTCTGTTATATTCATGTTACTGGGTCTCATGGCTCTGAATACATTCCTTTCAAATACTTCTACTTTCTTTTGCTTCTACTTTACATTTCTCATTCTGGCTCCTACCCTTCTCATTGTCATGCTAACTTTCCTAAACTTCTGTCCCCAAGGCTTAGTTGAGTTCCATCTCCCAGTTCTTTCCCACCCTGAGAAGTCAGGGTCCATCTTTCTTGTTTGTACCTCAGGCTCACTTGGATTTTAGAAAGTCCCTGATGGGGTGCCATCTTAGTCTGTATTTTCCTGTGCTTTGCTTGTTGGCATTCCCTTCACCTGAATCTCCGTTTCACCTTTCCTGAGCTTAGTTATTTATCTTGATGATTGTACTCCGAGGTTCCTTTCCTTTCTAGTAGAAACACTCGCTAGGCTCATTCTGTCTTCCAGTCTCTCTCCTTCTGTTCTGGTTGCTAAGGCTCTTTTAGTTTGTGTTTCTTAGTTTGATCTCAAGCAGCCTTTAGTTCTTTTACTCCAGCTCGCTTTGCGTCCTTCTGTTTTATTCATAAGCCCTTTTATCATACTAACCCTGGTACCTTAGGATGCCATCAGACACTCTCGGCACCACTCGTGGCATCACTTACATTAACCAGACAGTGGATGCACAAACCCCAAACTGTCAGCACATTTTGGCGAACCTTGTGGATGAAAGTGTGAATGATTTGAAAGGACTGTTGACAGGTAAAATCCATTGTACAGGTGGTTATAAAAGTGAGTGGAGATGGTTTTGTTAGCATCCTTGAGGAAGAAATTAAGAAGCCTTAGAAACGTTTACTCAGAAAGACTTAGAGAAACCGATATAAGGTTATATACATGAAACAGAGTGTAAGTACTGTATTTAATGATTAAGGAATTTTCGTGAGTTCTTTTGATTGTCGAATTTTTGCAAGAAAACTGATTTCAAAGCCTATTTCTTGACAAAAAGGACACAGCTCTACTTTATATTAACCTGCTTTAAGCTTTTCAGTACCTCCTCATCTCCAAGTCTGAGATACACATTAGCATTTCTGAGGCATCCTGACCTGGAAAAATCCCATAGCATTTTCCTTTAAAATACTTGTTCTGTTTGGCTATAAATTTCTATCCTGTTATTAGGCCTAGAGTTTTTGTTACACGTAATCTCTGAGTTTACACCTATGTGCACTTAGTATCATTTACACATGCATGTATTCATTATTTCATTACACAAATTATAGGTAGACGCTTGGCACTGGGGAGACAGACATAAAATGATCACATGAATACATGTAAAATGCATCAGTGACAGGGGCCTTATGATTTTTATGATAACTGATAATATGGTCAGAAAAGACTTTCCTGAGAAAGTGATGTTTGAACCAAAATCATAAACGATAAGTGGAAGTTACCGGATGATGAAGGGAGAAAAAAAGACCCTCCCAGGTAGTGGGGACTGAGGTCCTGTGGTGGGAAAGAGTATCTAGAACAAGGGACTCAATTTGAACCCTATTTTCTCCTATTAATGATGCAGTAACTTCTGAGTTGTGTATAATTGATGATATGAAACTGAAGGGCTTGTAGACAGTTGCATTCTAAACCTAATTTTAATACACTGCTTTTAGTCTTCACCTCATGGGCACTGTTTAGTTATGTAGATAGCAATGTTGTCTATAACAGTGTTTTCTTAAAGTGAAGTGATGTTAAATTTTGTCATCTCTTATGCTACCATCATTCTTGTTGTTACTGAATTATGTTAAGTGTTTTACATATGTTATATTATTGAATCCTTTAATAACCCTGTGAAGTAGGGCTTAGTAACTACATTTTACAGATAAGTAATGTGAGATCTAGAAAAGTTGCTCAAAATAATACAGTTTTAGGTATTGGAGCTAGAATTTAAACCTAGATCTGACTTCAACTCTTTTATCGTACTTATCTCCCTACGTACACCAGTTTACTCATAAAATGTAATACTTATAATTGAGCTCTGTAGTCTATTCCAGATTTGGAAATAGAGTTTAATTTTTGTATCTGTTTTAGGAGATACTGTATTTTCATTAATAGCCTAAAACTGAATGAAGCTTTTTGGTCACTGTTGAAGCATAGTTTAAAATTTATGGGATAGACTTCTCAATTTCAACCTACAGGGGTTATTGCAGGTGAGAAGTACTAACAATTGTATAAATTAAACTAAATTTTGAAATGTAATTTTAGAAACATGAGTAGTTATGATCATAAGTGAGAAGATTGCTGCTTTTGAGCCACAAGAACTTGGCTTTAGTTCCATCTTTCCTACTTAGTAACCAGCCGATGACCAGAGGTTACCTTTCTTTATCCATTAAATGAAAGGATTAAGCTAGATTAACCTCCAAGCTTGATGAAACTTTTTGATTCTGAGTCTTTATTATAATTATGGTTTTAATAGGATAAAACATGAAAAAACAAGATATAAGTAAAATTTGATTTTACTTTTCAGTGCTGCGTAAGTTAACTGTTAATGGATTTGTGGAACCCCATAAGAATATGGAGGTGATGGTAAGTGAAAGAAGTAATTGATTCTTTGTGACTTTGGGAAAGTACTTGGTATTTTCCTGAATGTTTTAAAGCTTATTCCTTTTACTTGGCATTCATTTAAAACTTCTTTATCAAGTGACCATCTAGTTTTTTACTGTTCTGTGTTATGTTGTACTATACTTTTAAACTTGTGGTCTGTTTTTACTACATCAAAGCAGCTATTGTGTGAAGGAGAGGAAATAGGCCTAGGATAGTTCTGAACAGATGCCATAGTACATTGAGAGTGTTAATTTGAATTTGAATTCATGTGATCTCCTGTGAATTTGTATGCCTTTAAAACATTACCAAATGCATTGTAGATATTTATATCCTTGATATTTTCCTGTTTTTATATATTTTAAATGAATTTTTTTCCCTCTGATCATAACATTTATATATGATCTTTGCAATCAATTAAAAAGATAATATATAAGAGGGAAAGACCTCATTGATAAGCCCAACAAGTTGTGATGTATAGTCACTGTTGGTATAGCATCATCTGCTTTTTCTATGTGCAAAAATATATAGCTGTATATTTTTTATCCCTAAACAAAATGGGGTTGTATTATACTTATTCAGATCTATGTTAGTTTTTACAGTGAGTTTAGGTCAGCTAAAATGTTGCTTTCTGTGGATTGTCTTGGAGGTTGCACAAGAATTGTGGAAAAAGTATGTCTAATTGGATCTTTGAGTCTGTCCTACTAGATTTGACCAGAGCCACTCTTTTTTTTTTTTAATCTTTAGTATATTTTGTATACCAGTAAGCTTTTGATTGAGGTAATGGTTCTATTGTTAAAAGAATTTAAAAACTGCTAATATACATCATTATAATATGATGACTTTTGTTCTATAAGTGTTACATACTTTTTTTTTTTAAAGTTAAAAAGCACAGAAAAAGAAATAGGAAATAAAAAATCATTTTAAAACTTACTGTCAGAGATATTGCTAAAATTTGTAAGTATCCTTTAAGACATCTTATGCATATTCTTTTAGATATACTTTGTCTCTTCCTCAATTTTATATAAATGGGACCTACATGATGTTTTTTTACTTGCTTTTTCTTATTTTCTTATTTTATTTTATTTTAATTTAATTTTATTTATTATTTTATTTTTTTGTGAGGAAGATCAGCCCTGAGCTAACATCCATGCCAATCCTCCTCTTTTTGCTGAGGAAGACCGGCTCTGAGCTAACATCTGTTGCCAATCCTCCTCTTTTTTCCCCAAAGCCCCAGCAGATAGTTGTATGTCATAGTTGCACATCCTTCTAGTTGCTATATATGGGATGCTGCCTCAGCATGGCCAGAGAAGCGGTGCGTTGGTGCGCATCCGGGATCCGAACCCGGGCTGCCAGTAGCAGAGCGCATACACTTAACCGCTAAGCCATGGGGCCGGCCCCATTACTTGCTTTTTCTTAAACTCAGTATATTATGATATTTTTCTCATGTAAGTAATATTGTTATATGTCATGTTTTTAGTGATCGAATGGTAAATCCATTGATTATTGTCGGTGGACTAATTTTTAAAAAAATGATAAAATTGATATAGGATTCCTATACTGTACTTGCCCAAATATCTATTGATGGACATACAGATTATTATTTTTTTTTTTTTCTGGTGAGGACGATTGGCCTTGAGCTAGCATCTGTTGCCAATCTTCTTTTAGTTTGAGGAAGACTGTCGCAGAGCTAACATCTGTGCCAGTCTTCCTCTATTTTGTTTATGGGACGCTGCCACAGCATGACCTGATGAATGGTGTGTAGATTCGCGCCTGGGATCTGAACTGGTGAACCACGAGCTGCCGAAGCAGAGTCCGTCAACTTAACCACTACGCCACCAGGCTGGCCCCTGTTTCCAGTTTTTAAGTGTTGATAAACGACTTTGGAATGAACACTTGAGTACATATGTCATTGTGTACTTTTCTAATGATCTCTTTAGGATAAATTCCTAGAAATGGAAATGTTGGGTTAAAGTGTATACACATTTATAGCATTGGTATATATTACCAAATTGCCGTAAGTTATATCCAGAAATAACCACAATTTTAGATACTGATACATTTTAAATATTTATATTTATAGCCACACTGCTAAAAAACATTTTCCAGAAACCAATTTGACAGTTCCTCCCCAATTCCCTCAATAGAATGTAAGTTTTCCATGAAGGCAGAGACTTTGTTTCATTCACTGTTCACCCCAGAGCTTGGAACAGTCTCTGCCGTATGGTAAATGCTCAATAGTTATTTTTAAATGAATGAATATATAATATGGTGGAAACATGTCAAAAAGCTCAGTACTTATCTTTATATGTAGTATTATTCTATCATAAAACTATATTAACTAAAATACTGAATATGTTCATCAATTTTTTTTTCAGCAAAAATGAATTGACTTGAATCACATTCCTATAAACTGGAATAGTGGTTCTCAGTGGATACTGTCAGTGTTCTGTGAGCCTTTGGCTTTCTCTTGAAAGTCTTCTGTCTACAGAAACTATGTCAAACTTTACTCAGTTATAAGTGCTATATTATAGCATTTAAGGTATATTGACTAGTTGGAAAGAGGGTAGAGTTTTAACAAATTAAGGACAGCCTTTCAAATAATATAAAGATCTTAAAAATGACATGGAACTTAAAAGATGCTTAAGAAGCACTATATGATGGTGGTGAGATTTTGGTTTCTGGAGACAGGTAAATGTGGATTTGAATCTTGCTTGGGCTTTTTCCTGATAGCATGGCCTCAGGCTTATTTACTTATCTTCCCTAATACTCATTTTCCTTTTTCGTATTGTGGAGATGAAATAATAGTACCTCATTGGATGTCGTGAGCATTAAGGGAGGTAATAATTTTTGTAACGAGTTCAGCAACTAATTAAAATGCCCTGTAAATTACCATTTAATAGTTATTTTAATTTGAGTTCTTATTCTGTTATGTAACATTAGTCAAGTTACTTAGTTTATTTAGACTACAAATTAGTCAGCTGTCTGTAATTCTAGAAGTTCCTGATTCTCTTGATGAGCTTACTAAAATTGATGGCCTTTATAGTTTTCTGCTTTCTTTGGAGAATCCTGACTGATAACACTAATTTTCTTTTTTTTTTTTGGTGAGGAAGATTGGCCCTGAGCTAACATCTGTTGCAAATCCTCCTCTTTTTGCGTGAGGAAGATTGTCTCTGAGCTAACATCTGTGGCAGTCCTCCTCTAATTTTTTTATGTGGGACGCTGCAACAGCATGGCTTGATAAGTGGTGTGTAGGTCCGTGCCGGGATCTGAACCCATGTACCCCAGGCCACCAAAGCAGGGCGGGTGAACTTAACCACTACGCCACCAGGGTGGCCCATGATACACTAATTTTATTTAAAAGAAAGTAGAATAAAATTCCTTCTATCTTGTAGTTACTGCTATATGGGACCATGAGACCCTTGTATAAATTTAAGATACCTGTGGGACCTCAGTGATCTTATTCTTCCTATATTGAAACATTTCGCTGTTGCATCATCCTAGGAATTATTTTATTGTTCCGTATCGTTACCCATCAGTTATTTCAACTGTACTTAAAAAGACTGAAATAGTATCAAAATGGAAGAATGATGGAATTGCCAGAAGGATGAAGCGATAGTGAAATTAATTGTCACCCTGCAGTTTTCTTACCCTGTGGCACTGAATTGTATCATCTTTCAAGAAGGTATAAAAGAAGACTGGACATACTATCTTTTTTCTCTACTTTTAGCTTTTGTTTAACACAGTTGAGAATTCAGCATTCAGTTGAGAATTCTGCCCCAAATGGCAGAGAGAAGAAAATTGACGAAGGAAGATGCTTTATAATTTTTAGATGAATCAGAAGATGAATGCTCTCAAAGAGACTGAGAGACTGAGAGCAGCACTCTAGACCCCTTTGAGGATGGTGAAATTTTCTAAGTAAAATCTCAGCCTCTGAGTCTTCAGATAATGATATCCTAGTTCAGTAGTCTCACACTCAAGAATTGATGAGTGAACAATATATTTCTCAAGACAAGAGGAAATACAGTGTTCTGTTCTAGTTAGTTGTTCCTCAGGAAGGCCTTCACTGTACAGTATTTTGTGAGAAAGACCTGAACCATCCTATTTGCTAAAAGGACATGTGGGGTCCGGCCTGGTGGCGCAAGCGGTTAAGTGCGTGTGCTCCGCTGCGGCAGCCCGGGGTTCGCCGGTTCGGATCCCGGGTGCGCACCGATGCACTGCTTGGCAAGCTATGCTGTGGCGGCGTCCCATATAAAGTAGAGGAAGATAGGCCCAGACGTTAGCCCAGGGCCAGTCTTACTCGGCAAAAAAAAAAAAAAAAAGGATTGTGAAAATTG